TGCAGTTGTCTTAGGACAAATTTTGTGAGAAACTCAGACTTACAAGACAACGTGGAGCAATTCTACTTCGTATGTTGCTCCTCTTGATAACAGTCTACTACAATGCAACCTGTGAAATTTCCTTGCACTCCTTGAATGCCACCAGGAGTTAAAGTGCACTTTATCTTCTTTTAACCCTACGTACACCCACCTCCAAAGAAAAGATCGTTCATATCGAATAGGATGAGGAATTCCTTACCGATATCGTAAATCTATGATACGATACCTATACTACTCGTTCTAAAAACAGGTAGTCTTAACGTTGTGTTTACCCTCTGCCACAAAAATCATCAGTAAAATAGAATCTCTTTAATCTAACTTATGTATTAATGCCGTTGTGCGAATTTTTTAATATTAGACACTGCAACCGCAGTAAATCAAGCTTGCTGAATTTTTTACTGTTAAAAATTGCCAATCTTCATTTTTCCCACACAATACCGCTCATAAAGTTTGCAAAAAAAAAAACGTGACTTCAAATAGAAATCCATCAAGCGTTGCATAATCATAACTTCTCTCGTAGTCGATATCTTTCAAAGGAGGAAAAACGATGTTAGTCTTAGCTAGCCAAGACGATCTTAGGTATGCCACACTAAAGTAACAAGGTGTACGCAAATACGGTAGGAAATCGGCATCGCGAATCCATCTGAATACCTGGGAATGTTATATAACCACATATGCGGATTCGTAATATTGACTTCTTACCGTAACTACCGTACACCTTAGATGTTACTATAATGTGGCATACCTTAAGATTCTGGTGGGCAAGCTAAGTCACTTTGAAAAGAACTATCCAGCCACTTGAAAGCGTTTTTGGGAAAAGTTTATAAGATATGGTTCCAACATCAAGCAAATGATAATTTACATCAAAATGAGATATTTAGAATTACTATAGAACATCTGGAAAATGCATTCCCACGTGCCCTTCAGCAGGAAAGGCTTATAATTATTCAGCATTAGAAATCACAAATTTTCTTAAGAGAGGAAATTTTCGGGTTTATAAGCGCGTTCCTGAAAATCCAGCGGGATGTGCTTTCATCAGCAGATTACTGTCTACTAAAGGAGCTTAATATAGCTCAAGAGGAGAAAAAATCGGAAAAAATATGATCGTTATCGAAAAGCTATTTGAAATGTTGCCTCTCAAAATCTGCTCTTCTGAGAAGTCCGATCTTGTTGGATAGCTGACTGCTCACTCTCTTCTTCAATTAAATTTGACCTTTGTGTGTTACTTACTAACCTAAATCAAACCTACTAGGAATATATGGGTGAACAGAGCTATCGTATTTTACATCTTTATTGGAGCATTATGGATCCTACTTAGTTAGAGAAAAAGTGTTTTCTTTTTGTTGAGTTTAAAATTCGGAATGAAACTCTTCTGGGGGCGGTTTCAAC